TTGTTGTTGTTGTTGTTGTTGTTGTTGTTGTTGTTGTTGTTGTTGTTGTTGTTGTTGTTGTTGTTGTTGTTGTTGTTATCATCTTCTTCACCTTCTTCTTCTTCATCTGTAAGAAAAAAATTTGATTTACGTGAAGAAATTTCTAATACATTTTCATTAGGTGCTAATTTTGGTTGAAAATTTTGATGATGATTATGATGATGATTATTATTATAATGATTAGAATATTGTTGTTGATGATAACCATGACCATTACGATAATGATTTGTACGATAATTAGGATTTCTATTAATATTAACAAGAAGATTTTCTGGTGCCGTTGAATCTAATTCCTGTGAATTTAATTAATAAATAATAAATAATAAATATATAAATATTTAAGAATTAAATAAATATTTGAAATCAAAAAAAAATAATAATAAATTTGAAATAGAAAAAATTTGAAATACAAAAAAAAAAAATAAACAAAATGGAATAAATAGAATAAAAATATTCACTTACTCTGATTTCTGCAAACACCTTTTCTTTATCAAATAAATTTAAATTACCCTGAAAATCGAATTCTTCAGATTTGAATTCATTAACATCTCCTCCTGCCCATTCATGTGTTTGACGTCTACTACGTCTAAACCTCCTAGCTATTAATAATATTAATTATAAATAACTATATTAGTATTATTATTATTAATTATTAATTATATATATAATTATATTTGTTATTATAATTTTAGTTACAATGTTAATTATAATTATATTGTTGTTATACAATTATAATAACAACAATATATTTAATTATTATAATTGTTATTATGATTAAATGAAATTAATCATACCAGGTGATTGAGGTGTTCGATAATAATAACCATTAGTATTTTGATTCTTTTTCTTTCTTGAACCTTTCTTTTGATTATATACAAAACTATCGGATTCTACTCCACTTGAATCACCGCCTTCCACATGATCACGATTATGATGATGATTATGATTATGATGATGATTATTATGATAATTTTTACCATTAGATGATGGTAGTGATAAAGTTTTTTCATATTCTTTTGTATTATTATTATTATTATTATTATTGTTGTTGTTATGATTATTATGATTATTATGATTATTATTGTTGTGATTTATAATAATATTGTTTTTATTATTAATATTATTATTCATAATACTATTAATAATATTATTGTTGTTGATATTATTTAATATTAATTCTTCTTCTTCACCTTTTGAATCACTATCAATCGTTGATCCGGTTCCAGTTCCAGTTTCAGTTGTTGTATGAGAAATTGGAATGGGTTGCTGATATAGATATAGATATATATATATATATATATGAAAATTAGAATTAATGTATTATTTATTTTAATAATTTTTATATATATTCAAATAATAATTATAATTTATATTTTAATTTTTGATACATACGAAATATGAAGGTGAAGTTCTGAAATTATAATTAATTAAAATAATAATAATAATAATTAAATTATAATTAATTAAAATAATAATAATAATAATTAAATTATAATAATGATGATGATAATAATAATAATATAGATTAAAAATAATGATTAATTAAAAATTGATTTTTTTTTTTTTTATTGACTACCTTGATGTTGAAATTAGACCATAAGAACTTGCTGGAGAAATTGATGGATGATGATGATATGGAATAGTAGATGTAGATGATGATGATGATGGTTTATGTGAATACTAAAAAAATGAAAATATTATTTAATATAAAATTTTTTTTATCTCTATGTTATCCTTATTGTCCTTATTATCCTTATTATATATATTTTATTATTATTCTTATTTCCTTTATTCTTTTATTATTATAGAAGAATTGATTGATTGATTTATTGATTGATTGGTTGATTGATGATGATTGATTGATTGATTGATTGATCGATGATTAAAAATTTACTAACCGAAATTATGGCAGGATCAGTAAATGATGGAGATTTCAATAACATATTTGAAGTTATTTTGTTATTACTGCCGTTATTATTATTATTATTGATTATTTCTTGGTTGGTATTGTGAATTATTTCATGATGATGATGATATAAATTGATATTATTATTATTAATATTATTAATATTATTATTATTGTTATTATTGTTGTTGTTGTTGCTGCTACTGCTACTGCTGGTGCTTCTCATTAAAGATGATGTAAGTTCAATATTATTATTATTATTGTTATTATTATTATTATTTATTAAATTGTTGTCATTATTATTATTACTACTATTAACACTACTACTACTATTACTACTATTACTATTATTATTATATTGTTGTTGTTGTAGCTGTTGTTGTTGTTGTTGTTGCTTTGAAGCAAGAATTCGAAGATCTTTAATCTCTGAACCTGCTACACCGTATATAGCAAGTTGTTTACTACGACCATTATTTTCAAGTTTGACTATAATTTATTAATGATTAAAAAAAATTAAATTAAATGAATAATGGATAGTAATAAATTAATAATGAAATGAGTCAAAGTTAATAATAATAATAATAATGAATTGAATAAAGTTCATAATGAATAAAGACAATAAAAAAATAGATTAATAAATAAATAATAATAATAATAATCATAATAATTATAATACCGTTTTTAAGAGTTAATAATTGTGTATGAGAATCAATATGTGACACGGTTCCCTCTAAAGACGAACCAGTACTAAGTTCGACATGCACACTCAGGCCAATAAAAGCTTCTGCCATTGACACCGTTTAGATATATCTTTTTTTTATGTATATATATATATGTGTGTATATATATTTAATTCACTTAAAATAAAAACTTTTTTTTTTATATTTTATTTATGCAAACTACTCTTAATTGTTTGAAAATTATTTGAAATTATATAATTATATTGAAATTATTTGAATTATTTGAAATTATTTCAAATTAACGAAATTGGTCGAAATTGGTCGAAAATTGGTATGTGGTGAGAACGAAAAAATTTTTTTCTATATCAATGAAATCTGTTGTTTGTGCACTAACTGTATTTATTGGATTTTTTATTATTATTATTTTTTTTTATGCTAAATTATCTTTTTTTTTTTTTTTTTCTATACAAGTCTGAAACAGGAATTTATATAATTTATATTGGCATTTAATGTTTAGAACATAACTTTGATTATAAGTGATAAAAAAATTTTTAGAATTAAAATTAAAATATAAAAAAAATTAAATTAAAATATAGATAAATTAAGGAATAAAGGAAAAAAAAAAGAAGTTGGGGAACAGAATCCATTACGCAGAATATGATATCATTTAGTAAATCGAAGCGTTTCACGATAAATATTAATAATTATATTTAGATTATTATTATTATCATTTATTATTATTATTGTTATTTATTATTTATTTTTATATTTAGATTATTATTAGTTATTAAATTATTTTATTTTCAGTTAATTAGAATTAGATTAATTATAAAGATTAGATTAGATTACTATAATTGAATGATTATTATTATTACTTACTAAACATTGATACATCATTATTATTATGGCATACATTATGGCATACATATAATACATATAACACATATAACACATATAACATTTAATGATTTTAAAAAAAATGTACAACAAAATAGAAATGAAGTATACCGAAATAAAGAAATCAAGAATGGAAATATATTAAATATATTAAAATCAAAAATTATAACTGATAAAATCATTTGATTCATTATAAATTTTTATTCTTGATTACCATTCTTTATTCCAATTTTATATTTTTTAATAATTCTTTGTTAATTTTTTTTTTATTCTCTGTTAATTTTTTTTTCTTTATTCATTAAAATAAGAAAAAAAAAAATACTATAAATTATTTCCTTAAATGTTATTTTTTTTCTTTATTGGAAAATTAAATATTAAATATAATTTTATTTTTATTTTGAATTACATCTAGACATAAATATTAGATAGAGAGATATATATCAGAGATATATTAAGAGAGAGATACATAATTAGATTAGGTATTGTCTATGAAGTATTTCCTCTAAATCGTGTTCGCATATCAAGCTAATATCTCAAAAATATATATATATATTTCCAAGAAAAGAACATTATATATATATATATACATTTTTCAAGAAAAGAAAAAAAAAAGAATAAAAAAAAAAAAAAAAAATCTAATTTAGAATTCCTTGTCAAACTTATAAATTAAAAATCAATAAAATATTGAAATTTACTTACCAATCCTCTCCGACATTCAAAAAAACTTCTACGAATGCTATGACATTCTCTAGGTACATCATCTGTATTTTCTGTTTGTAAGCATTCTGATTTATTTTTATATATATATATGTATATGTATATATATGTTATGCATATATATTTGTTTCAATAATAGAAATATAAAGAAATAATAATAAACAAGAAATATAGATATATATATATATTTTTATCTTTATATATATATATATATATATTTAAGAAAATAAGGAATTCAAACAAGAAAGAAAAAAATAAAATAAAATAACTATTCCAATGCTATAAATGCTATATTAGACGCTATACCGTTACTATCACCACCACACCATAATAATACTACAACAACTACTAATGTTTATTCACTCCACCTTTTACGGTGTGGCGTTTCACTACTACACAGTCGGATTTTAATAAACAATCTACGAGTTCTTGGCGAATTTCTTTACAAGAGTTTGGCATGACGGGAATGAAAAAAAAAAGTATAAATATAGATGTCTTGGATTTTATTTAAAAGTGGTACAAGAAAAATCGATAATCACTGAACATTCATTTTATGTAATCGATGTTTGAATATAAACATATATATCAATATATATATAAATACTTATTTATCGGAATTTTCACCAAGAAGAAAAATAAAAAATAAAGATAACTTGAAAATTTAACAATTTAACAAATTGACAAAGGAATTTTAATATAATTTATAAAGATGGTATATAGTATGTTTTTTTTTACGTATATAATTACTCTGTTTTTTTTAAATAAATCAAAGCATATAACTTATCTCTCTCTCTCTCCCCTTCTCCCCTTTTAAATTTTAACACAAATATATATAAATATATATGTACGCACCTTCTCATTCTCTTTCTCTCTCTCTCTCTCTTACAGGATATTTTATTTGGTCGCAAGAAAACTCCTCAAGAACTGATGCGACAACATCAACGATCTTTACAAAAGGCTCAACGTGAATTAGATCGTGAACGTGGTAAACTTGAAATATCCGAAAAAAAATTAATAGCAGATATCAAAAAAGCTGCCAAAGCAAATCAAATGGTATAAATGAATTCGAATTAAAATTATTTCTTGATGGTGAAAGTGAATGATTTTTATTATTATTATTACTTATTACTTATTATTACTTTATTGTGAAATATATATATATAAACTATATAATATATAATATAAAGGGCGCTTGTAAAATTATGGCCAAAGATCTGGTCAGAACGAGACGTTATATTCAGAAATTTCAAGCAATGAAGACTCAACTTCAAGCTGTTAATTTGAAAATTCAGGTATCCCATCTAATTTGGATTTTAATTTTTTTAATTAAAATTTTTTTTTAATTAATTTATTTAAGATTATATTTAAATTTCTTAAATTTTATTATTATTATTATTATTATTATTATTATAGACTCTTCGATCAAATCAACATATGGCTGAAGCAATGAAAGGAGCAACAAAGGTATAATTTATAATAATTTCGATTCTAATTATTTTTTTTAATATAATATAATATAATATAATATAATATATATGTGATATGTGATATGTGATATGTATAGGCTATGAAATCCATGAATAGAACAATGAATTTACCAGCCATGGAAAAAATTATGATGGAATTTGAAAAAGAAACCGAAATTATGGATATGAAAGAAGAAATGATGGAAGATGCCATTGATGATGTTATGGACGAAGAGGAAGATGATGAAGAAAGTGAACTTATTGTGAATCAAGTATTAGATGAAATTGGTATTACATTAGATCAATCGGTAAGTTTCATCATTAATATTTTTAATTTAACTCAATTTCTTTTAATTTCTTTTAATTTCTTTTAATTTCTTTTAATTTCTTTATTATGAGAAATAACAAAATAATTAAATAAATATTTTATCTATAAATATATATATATTTAATTTAAAATTTTAAAATATAGTTGGCTGATACACCAAGTTCGATTGAAAGAACATCTGTAAAAGAAAAGACTCCACTGGCTGAAACGGAGTCAAACCATGATGCAGCTTTGCAAGCAAGACTTGATAATTTACGAAGGGAATAATTTATTTTTATGGAAAATGTGGGAAATGATAACAACCATTATTATTCTTTGTTAAAGAACAATATCAAATAAAAGGAATTCAAATAGGTCAAGGCATCTCTCTCATTTTTTTTTCTTTTTACCGTTACAAGGTTAAACCATGTATTTAATTATTATCATTATAATTATTTTTTTTTTATAATTATTTTTTTTTTTTACTATGAAATTATCTCACTGGTTTCTTTTCTTTTTCTGAAGGGGTTGTTTTCTTTTTGTTTCGTTATTATATCAGATATAATTTGATAATATAATTTGATATAATTTGGTTTAAATCTTTTATTCCCTTTTTTTTTTTCTCTCTTCCCTAAATCTAAATTACGCGTCAATCATCACATTTTAGCAAAACATTTAACACCATTTTTTTTTCACTTTGTTATATATATAAATATATAAATATATTAAATATTCATGTCTCTTAAAATATAGATTATTATTTGATGTAATATAATAATAATAATAATGATAATAATAATAGTTAATAAAATCAGGTCGACTACTTCGAAATATTAAAATTTTTTTTAATTAATCAATAATTTAATATATAACCTAAAACCATAATTTAAATTATAACCTAAAACAATAATTTAAATTAAATATTTTAAACTATTCTATTAACAATTTAAAGTAATCATAATTCTTTTAAAAAAAGAAAAAGAAAATAAATGTACTAAGAAAATCATAATTTAATTAATTAAATTAATTTTAATTAATTTCTGCAAGTAATAATAATTATTATTATTTTATAATCATTATTTAATTTAATCTATGTAATCTATATGCACACATAACTGATATGTAATATATGTAATGTATGTATGTATGTATGAGTGTATTTTGGGATTTTGGGATTTACGAGTTTACATTCGAATTTACATTTACATTTTATTTTTTTGATTTTATTTATAAATTTAATAATATTTATGAATGATGATTATGATTATTGAAAAGATCGAGAATCGAAAAACAATCAAAGAGTTTTTAAAATGCAAAATTTATTATAAATTCAATAATATAATATAATATAATATAATATAATATAATATAATATATATAATATATATATATATATAAATGAATTAAAATAATTTTATATTTTTTTGATTTTCAGAATTTGAGATTTAGATATTTTAATTATTGATTCGTGAGACAGTAACCAATTTTTGTTAATAAAAAAAAAAAGGGAATCCGAAATGAATGAATAATGTGAGTAATTAAAATAATAATAATAAAAAAAAGAAGCGATATATTCCAGTTATATTGTATTATAAAGTATCCTAAATTTGTCTCTCTCTCTCTCTCTCTTCTAAAAAATGTCCCGATCTAAAATAATAATAAATATTAATATTTTAATAAATATAATGTTTATCAATGTTATATGTCAAAGTGTGTATCAATATGTGACAATGATATGTAACAAAGTGTTGTGAAGCAAAATATGAACAAATGTATGTTAAAATGTCAAAGTATGAAGCGATATGTTTCAAAAAAAAAGAGTATAAAGCAATAAAATATAATAAAATATTAAGAAATAGAGGAAGTAAAAAGTAAAGAAGTAGTAGTAGAAGAAGAAAGTAGAATAAAAAAGAAAGAAAGAAAGAAAAAAAAAGAAGAGATAAATGATAAAACTTTTAAGATTATGTAAAATTACAACGAAAGGATCATGATAAAAAGTTTTTTTCTTTTAATTAATTAATTAATTTTTTAATATCATTCACCTAATTTTTGTAGTATTAATTCTATTTTAAAAAATAATAATAAAACTTATTTATTTATTATTAATAACAAAAAAAATTAATAACCATCATTGTAATATTGTTGTTGTTGTTGTTGTTGTTGTTGAGGATATCCACCATAACCACCTTGATTTGAGTATTCTTCTTCTCCTAATAATTCTCTAACTTCCCATACATTTTGTTTGCTACCAACAGAGAATTCGAGATCTTCTTTGGTAATGGAATCCCAATATTTATAAACCATCATCACAGCCAAAAGTGTACAAATTGTTCCAAAGAAGAGACCATCAATGTAATGTTTTGCCGTATCACAGATGCGAACGGAGAAGATATAAAGAATAGCTTGTCCAATAACATAAAATGCGATACCGAACAAAATATCACCAAGTGGCCAACGATCATCGAGTGTGTTAAGTACAAGAACAATCTGAAGAACTACATAGATTGATAAAGCTGCACCGTTGAATATATATAATACAATCCAAAGTGCTACCGGACGTAAAGGATCAAATCCGGCCATTCCCTTGAAGGTAGCAATACTTAAGAAGAAGACAGCTGTGAAAATTACCAAAGATGAAATACGAATAGACTAAAAATAAAAATAAATAAATAAATAATTAATTATTAATATTACAATATGTATATATATAAAATTAATAATAATAATTCTTGTTTTATATATATATTTACCCAAAGTGATAACGGTGTACCATCTTCGGCAAATTGAAATCCTACGAATCCATTTAATAATAAACACCAGAATGTGGCAGTGATAAGACCAACATGTGCAGCGACGAAATACTAAAATGAAAAAAAAAAATCAATAAATAAATATCGTAAATATTGTAATAAAATATCATAAAAATATATTGAAATATCATAATAATATCACAAAATATCAAATATCACAAATATCAACAATAAAATATTACTTACGGGATATGGAGTAGATGCTGTAGGAACAATTCCGGAAACAAGGAATAACTCTATAGTGGTGACCATCATATACAAATAAAAGAACATGACAATTTCCTTACGACCTAAAAAAGTTGGTTAAAAATGAACAAGTTTATAATTAGATCATGCTAATATTAAAAATATTAAAAATATTAAAAAAAATTATAATAATAATTTATTATTATTATCTTACCAACAGCTGTATATTTTGACTTTATGTGGTAAATCATGATGGAAGTCATAATGAGTGCAATAACATGGATTATAATCGTGGCTAAAGAAATGTAATAATTGAATAAGTGAGAAGGTAAACATATTACAGTTATAAATATACATTGTAAATATTTAAAGTTGTTAATATGTTATTATTTTATGTTATTTATTTACTTACCAGGTTGGAAAATTAGTGTTCCAGCGACTTCCACGTTTCTTGAATAACATGTTGGTTCAATACCTTCCTCTGCACCCACTAAAGGACACACAGTAAGAGCAACTGTCTCACAGATTCTATTAAAGTCTCCAAACCTCACCATGATTGTAAAGTATTTTTTGTTGTTATTTGTGGTTGGTTATTTAGTAGTAGTTGGATGTAATATGTAAAAGAATGTAAATTGGGGAGTTTAATAAAGAGATTTTTTTTATAATAAGACTTTTATATTATATTATATCTCTTCGCCCCTTTTTAGGGTATCACACGTTATTTTTTTTTTTTAAAAAAAAAAAGTGGTTATTTAGAGGGGAGAATAATTTTTTTTTGAGACAAGTTTCAAATAATCGATTTATAAATAAGAATAAATGAACAAAAAAAAAAAAAGAGTAACACTCGCTATATATATCCTTTTTTTCATGTATTAATGGGGGGATTTTGTGTATTATTATGCAAAATGAAACTTTTGACTACCACTAATATTTGACTATGAAGCAATATACCTGATCAAATCGGTCAGCCTTCTTTTCGAACAATGCACATCTAATAATAAACTAATAATAATTTTAATAATGTATTGCTTTCTCTTTTCCAATTAAATTTTATTAACTCTCTGTTGCTTCTAATGAAACTAGTTCGGAATGGTTAATCAATCATGATTTGTACAATTCATAAATATTTATTTCACTTTAAATTAAAATGTTATCCATGTTTACCAATATTTTTTTCATATTATAAAATATGTAAAAATATGTAAAATATGTGTTGAGTAACATGAAAAAAGTTCCACACTAAAAAATAAAAACAAGAAGAAAAAAATTATAAAAATAAAGAAATTTTATTTATTTATTATTATTATTATTGAAAAACTTTAAAATCTATGATATTGCTATATTTTTATACATTTATATAAATTTTTATTTATTTATTATTATAGACAAATTAAGTAATTTCATTAAAAAGTAGTAAATCTCGTATTACCTTGCCCAAGATCACGTATTTTCTTTTTCCTCCTTTCGCTGATCACCAACTATAATTATTCATTTCAATGAAACCATCAAAGCCTCGAAACAAAGCCTCAAAAAAAAAAAAAATAATAAATCAGAGATTATTATTCTGAATCTAACCAGATTTCATCAATTTAAACATACCCGATGTAATTTAGAGATTATATTACTTGTGTGATATTAGTTACACATCAGGAATTAGGGCATTTGGGTAACACAATAGTAGTTTTTCTTGATTGATTAATTGATCAAGAATTTCTTTGAGTTACTAACATTTTACCTAATATTACTCGTCTTAACCAACAAAATATGTAAACCTGTTGTTAAGAAATTGCTGCTATTTCATCATTTTGTAGATAACAAAATATAAGAAAATTTTGTTATAAATTGTTATGTTTACAAGATTTTCCTTCAGATGATACCAGGGGTAGAAAATTGATTACTGTGTTTATTTGTAATAAATGAAATGTTCTCCACAAAAAATTTTAGAGCTTGGTTGATTGTTTGGAGATAGAAAAAAGGATTATCGGATCAAAAAAAAAAAAAATGCAAGATCAAACTTTAAAGATACAAATTTAGTTGATGATTTGCATCAATTAAAAATTATGCAGTCTTTTTTTTTTTAATTAAAACAGCAAATATTAGTTGAAGTCACACACCATATGAAGCATTGACAGTATAAATTTTTTTTTTTAAGAACTAAAACTCGATCAAATATTCTTTTTGATTTTTTGTTTGTGATATTTGTGATGATCAATGTTTTGTTTCAGCTAATATTCCGACTATATCTCGGTTTTTAATATTAAAAATAAAACTAGTGATCAAAAAAAAAAGGTGAAGTTACCCTTGTGACTTATGAGAAAAAACGAGATTAACCAATTAAAATCATTTTTTCGATCCGGAATTGATCGATCACCGCCGTCAAATTTTTTGTGAATCGCACGTTTTTGGTTTTTTTTTGAATCATTACGTGTACTTTCGCGGTGTTAAAATATTCATTTTCGATCTGTTTTCTCGAATTGATTCTTTCACTTTTGATCTTCTTTAAATTTATCGAGAATGGGTAGTAATTCTTATTTGGTGGTCGGGTTGCTGGAGAAGGTAATTTATTTTATTCATTATTAATTATTTTAGTTCATGATTTTTAAATGTCCTTCACTATGTTATATTAGATGGACTCTAGCGATACCGATTTTCGATATATGGCCACCAATGATTTAATGAATGAACTTCAAAAGGATGGATTCACGTTAGAAGAATCTACTGAAAAAAGAGTGGTTCATAAAGTTTTAAAATTAATGGATGACCCTAATGGTGAAGTGCAAAATTTGGCTGTTAAATGGTAAAATTGTAATAAGAATAAAAAATTATATCCAAAAATTATGAATTCAATATCATTATCATCATTTTTCTAATTTATACTTTAGCCTTGCGCCACTTGTCAAAAAAATTCGAGAGGCACAGTTAGGAGAAATTGTTGATAAACTTTGTGATTATGCCACTCAAAAGAATAAGGAAGAATTACGAGATATCGCAGGAATTGGTATTTAATTATTTAATTATTTGAATATAAATAATATATAGATAGATAGATAGATAGATAGATATATATTTATTAATCTATTGATTAAAATTTGTTATTTGTAGGTTTAAAAACAGTTATTGTGGAAATACCAAGTAATTCACCGAGCGCTGGGAATGTGATGCAAAAATTGATTCCAAAACTTCTTGATCAGTTGGGAAATGTGAGAAAATATTAACATAATTAAAGCATTCACAGAAATGATTTATATTATTTTTAAAAATAAATTACTGTTAAATAACATAATAATAATAATTTATTTATTAGATTAATGCAACTTATGAAGTACAAATGGATACTCTTGATATCTTGAGCGAACTTCTTGCTCGATTCGGAAGTTCAGTTGCTAATAATGTTATAGCTCAAAAAAAAATTCAAAATTGTTTGATAAATAATTTAAATCATTCACGTCCAGCATTTAGGAAGAGAACTACTGTTGCACTTGGTTTGTTAATTAAATAAAAATTTTTTTTTTTTAGTTAATAAGCATTTCTTTAGTTAATCGAAGCAATTTCTTTAGTTAATCAAAGCAATTTCTTTAGTTAATCAAGTATTTATTGATTTTATTCAATTATACTTTAGGAAATCTTGTAACACATACACCGGATGATCTTTTTAATGAGTTAGTACATAAATTATTGGAAGGGTTTGAAAAGGCACAACATCAAAAGGATAATCTTAAGACTTTAATACAATGTGTCGGAACTTTGAGGCATGTTAATTATAAATATCTATAAATATAAAATACAATCTGTAAATATGAAAGATATTATATATATATATATATATATATATATATTCGAAACATATCTAATATTTATTTTATTTTTTTTTCATTATTTTTAGTCGATCAAGTGCTCCAAGGTTAGGAAAATATTTACCACAATTTTTACCACTTGTAATTAATAGTATCAATATAAATGATGATGAATTACGTGAAAATTGTTTACAGGTAAAAATTTATGCAACATGTGAAAATATATTTAACATCTAAAAAAGGCATGTTTTTTTTTAATAAAACTTATTATTAATTATTATTCATTTATAGACACTTGAATCATTTGTATTGCGTTGCCCGACAGAAATGACTCCCAATATAGATGACATTATCAATATTTGTCTAGTGTATTTGAAATATGATCCTAATTATGCTAATGATGAAATGGAAGATGACGGTGATGCAGAGATGGACGAAGATGAAGAAATGGCAACCGAGGAAGAAGAAGAAGATGATGATGACGACGAAGGGTGCGAATATTTAGATCTATGTTTATTGATTTCATAAAACCTTTTCACCAAAATTTACACTTTTTCAATACACATACATACATACATATATATATATGTATATATATAGAGTTTATTCTGATGATGATGATATATCTTGGAAAGTGCGTCGATCATCTTCGAAATTACTTGCAGCCATCATTGGTACAAGACATGAACTTCTTACGCAATTATATCATAGCGTTTCTCCTGCTTTGGTTAATAGATTTAAAGAAAGGGAGGAATCTGTTCGTGTGGATGTTTTACAAACGTTCATTGTACTTCTTAGGCAAACTCATGTATACGGAGGTGAAAGTTATATTCCAAGAGATAACGATCATGAACCTAAACGTAGAAGGGCTGTTGGGCCTAGTGAATCACAAGAAAGGTAAACCTTTTATTTGTGATATTTTTGATTTGGGATTCCTTTTATTTTATTGTTGGCATATATTAACATATATATATACATATATACATTTATATATATATATATATAATCTATTCAATTTAGTCCAAAACAGATGTTGCGACAGTTGGTTCCAAAATTAAGTCGTAATTTATCAAAGCAATTGGTTTCAAAATCTATTATTACCAAACAAACCGGTTTTTTGCTTCTTCGCGAATTAGTTACGGTATTAAATGGAGGACTTGATAATCATCTTAACACGTTCGTCCCTCCTATTGAGAATTCTTTGTCGGTGTCACCTGATTCCGTTCATCACCATCATACGAGTACAAATTCTAATCTTAAGATTGAAACCTTGAGTTTCCTTCGTCAATTATTTAAGGTTCATCCACCACAAGTTTTTCATAATTATCTCTCAAGATTATGTCCTCCAATAATCAATTCCGTTAGAGATAAATTCTATAAGATAACATCCGAAGCATTCTTGGTTTGCATTGAATTAATTAAAGTTATTCGTCCTATCGAATATCAAGAATCTACACAAACATATAATATTCAACCATTGAATCCAGAATTTAAACAATATATATTGGATATTTATGATGTTACTATGGCTCGCCTTTCGACAATGGACGCAGATCAAGAAGTCAAGGAAAGGTCTATAATGTGTTTAGGTGTTCTCATTTCTCAAACTGGTGATAATTTACAAGAACAACTTAAAACGTGTATGCCATTATTATTGGAACGTTTGAGAAATGAAGTAACACGATTGACCACAGTTAAAACATTTAAAATGATAGCTGATAGTACAGTTTGTGAAAGCGAAGAAGTGAGATTAGCCATAAAAGGAGCTATTCAAGATGTTGCAGTTTTACTTAGAAAGAGCCATCGTCAATTGAAAGTTGCAACATTAGTTTGTTTGGAAGTTTTTGTACGACGGTATGTGAATAAAATTAATTTACCAAATGAACAAATAAAGATAATAGTTAACATCGTATATTATATTTTTATTAAATATTTATTATTATATATTTATTATTATATATTTATTATATTTATTATTATAGTTATGGCTTACTTCTTGGACCAGAAAATTATTCTCGAGTCATTGAAGAATTGACACCTCATATTTCTGACCAAGATCTTCATTTATTACCTTTAGCATTGAATACCGTGGTTTCAATTCTTTACACAAATCCTGCTTCACTTCCAACTGTATATAGTGATATAATGCCTAACGTTTTTAAACTTGTTCAATCAACTCTTGTACAAGGCGCTGCTTTAGATAGTTTATTGGTCTTATTCCAAACATTAATTAAAACTCAAGAATCAGATTTCAATAAATTATTCTCTGGTTTAATACAACCATGTCAACCTATTCCAACTATTCAAAATAATTCAAATCAGGATATTACACAATTGATTCTATCGAAGCAGGTTAAAAAAATTTTAGAATTTATTATTATTTTTTTTTTTTGAGTTCAAACGAAAAACTAAATAATCATTTTAATAATAATAATTTAATATATATATATATATATATATATATTTAGGCGTATTCAACAATTGCACAATGTATTGCAACAATATGTGTGGCATCAACACTTTATTGCAATAACACCGTTATTGAATTAAATAAAATGATTGGGGTTTGTGATTTGTTCAAATTTTATTATATAACTTACAATCATTTTCTTTATCTTTATTTATCATATTTATTTCATATATATTTATTTATTTCCTAGGAACAAAAATATCCTGATTCAATTAAATACGTTTCACTTTTAACTTTAGGGGAAATTGGACGTAAAATGTGAGTTCACTTTCATATCTTTTTTTTTTTTTTTACTTTTTATTTTCTTTCCTATTTCCTTTTTTTTTAAATTTTAAATTTTTTTTTAAATAGTGACTTAAGTTCACATTCAACGATTCATGTGACTATACTATCGATGTTCTCCTCACAGTCCGAAGACTTAAAATCAGCAGCTGCATTTGCACTTGGAAATGTTAGTTCAGGAAATGTATCCAAGTATTTACCAATTGTGATCCAAGAAATTACTTCCGATCCCAAAAAGCGATATTTATTGTTACATTCGCTCAAAGAGGTAATTATTAAATCAATATAAAAATATAAAATATTATAAATATTTTTTTGAGTTAAAATTAATTAAATGCTGAAAATTTTTAGATAATTTCGCGCTATTCAAATGAAGACGGGGTTAAAGCATTGGGTCCATTTGCAGATGATATTTGGTTCGTACTTTTTTTTTTTTTAAAAAAAAATAATCAACTTGGATTTATATTATTAATATTTTATTGATTTCCTCATTTTTTCCTTTTTCAAAATTATTATTATTTTTTTTTTTTAGGAATATACTTTTTGATAGTGGAGAAAATATTGAAGAAGGAACTAGGGGAGTGGTTGCAGAATGTCTTGGAAAATTGACTTTGGCAAATCCGAATAAATTTTTACCAGAGTTACAAGTAAATTATATATATATATATATATATATATTTATCTACTTGATAATAAATTTTAATAATAATATTAATATTAATATTGAATTTTTTTTTTTATTAGAAACGTCTTCGATCTGGATCCGCCCAAACTCGGGGGACTGTAGTTACAGCCATTAAGTTTACATTTATAAATCAGGGTCAAGAATACGATGCACTTTTACGTCCTTTAATTGTTGATTTCTTATCTTTGATTCAGGATTCTGATTTGGTACGTAATTATAAGAAGCTACACATATGAAAAAGAAAGAAAGTGTTTAAATTTATTTCTTTGTTTACATTTTAGAATGTTCGTAGACTTTCATTATCTACACTAAATTCGGCTGCTCACAATAAACCATATTTGATTCGTGACGTATTGGATCAATTGTTACCATTGTTATATTCTGAAACAGAAATAAAAGTAAGAATTAAATTTTATATTATATATATATATATATATTGTGTGAAGTTTTATTTAAAGTTTTTTTTTATAGATTTGTTCTCACGATCTTTTATATGTTTCTACTATATAATTATTCAGGATAATCTTATTCATATGGTGGAAATGGGACCATTTAAACATAAGGTGGATGATGGTCTCGATATTAGAAAGGTAAATATCAAAAAATAATAATCATTATTATTATAATATTTATTATTATTATTATAATATTTATTATTATTATTATAATATTAATAATTAATAATATTTATTATTACATTAAATATTTTTACAATTTTTAGTCAGCATATGAAACCATGTACACATTACTTGAAACCTGTCTCGATAGGTTGGAAATTTATAACTTTTTATCTCGAGTAATCTCTGGATTATCCGATCAACATGATATTTGTATTCTTTCACATACGATGTTGATACGTTTAGCTCATGTCGCACCTACAGCCGTTTCACAAAGTTTGTATTCAAATATTTAAAATGACAACTTTTTAAATCTTTGTTATTAAAAAAATTCTAACAATTTGTTATTGTAAAAATAATAATAAATAATAACCTTGTAGGGTTAGATGAAACAGTTGAACCACTCAAAGCAACCTTAACATATAGAATGAAAGATAATGCAGTTAAATCAGAAATTGATAAAAACAATGAATTGTGTCGATCTGCTGTTAGAACTGTGGTTGCTTTGAATAAATTATCTGAACAGGGTATGACATTATTCTTTATTATTATTTCTTATTATTTATATTATTATTTCTTATTATTTATATTATTATTTTTTATTATTTACATTACTATTTGTTATTATTTATATTAATATTTCTTATTATTTACATTAATATTATTTATTTATTATTTTTTAAAGGAGGAAGCACACCTAAATTTGATGCATTCGTCCGAGATACAAAAGTAGGTCAGTGGGGTGATCAATTTAACGCATATCAAGCTGAAATGGAAAATAAGGAATCTGGATCAGGGCATGTCGGGGATAGTATGGATACGTCATAAGTTTTATAATTTAAATAATTTATATAAAAAACAATCCTTGAATATTAAAAAATTCCTAATTAAAGCAAATTTGAAATTGAGGAGAGGGGGATCTGCCATGATTATGAACACATTTTTTGATTTGCTGCAGTATTACTATTTACCGTCCGTGTTACAAATTTACAACATTAATCCATATTTAAAAAAATTTTAACTATTTATACAGTTTATACGATTTAAATTATTTATACAAATTTATACAAGAATTACAAGTTATAAATATAAGTGTAAACAAAGAATAAAAGACTAAACCAGTTATAAACTATTGATTTATAGCTTAAAATAGTTTTTTTTTGATATTATTTACACAAATAGATTAAGAATTTCCAGTTCGGGAAATTAATTTATTAAAATTTAAAAAGGTGTATTGACATGCGTAAAGATTGTCACAACGTTCTTATACTCCACTAAAGAGCCCAAAATATTTATATCATTATTTATGCATTTCTTGCTTTTTTTTTTTTAATTCCAAAAATAACTCTCTCTTCATTCGTTTTCTAGTTATTAAATTTTTTTTTTTTTAATAACTTTATCTTCATACGCAACACTCTCCCTATAACATTTTTACCTTTCATAAACAAAATGAAGTTAAAATATATTCTCGTTTTTACTGCAATAATCGCATTAACGTCATTTTGTAGCGCCCAAGGTATTTTTGTTTTTTTTTCTTTGATTCTAAAGAATTCAATTATTTCAATTCATATACATAAAGAATTTAATTAATATACATTGATATACATAAAGAATTCAATTAATATGCATAAAATTTCAATTTAAATATATTTTATATGGGCGATTAATACAATCAAATATACAATCGATACGATTAAATTATTAACATTTTTATTATATAATTATATAACAAGTGACCACAACTACTTCGACTACGGATTCGGATTCGGATTCGAGTTCAAGTCCGAGTTCGAGTTCTCCAACTACGAGAAGTTCAACTTCAGGTTCAGCGTCAGGTTCAGCGTCAGGTTCAGCGTCAGGTTCAACGTCAAGTTCAACGAAAAGTTCAACGTCAAGTTCAAGTTCAGCGACAGGTTATACGCCAGTGCCTACAGCGGAACCTTCAGATATTGCTAACCTTCCAAAGTTCACATATAATCTCATCAATGAAGCCAAAACTACTCGAGATAACATTCGTTCACAAAACATTAATTATTGTGTGACAACTTGTGGTGGTGCTAGCAATGTAAATTTATAATTCTTTATGATTCTTTTTCATTTTTTTTTTCTTAAAAAAAAAAAAAAAACTTTTTAACATTCTAACCTTAATATTCAAATTGGATTTTAAATTTAATAGGCCCTTAAGGTAATTTTAAATCGTCTTATGTATATATGTTATGTGTGTAAATATTATGTATATTATTTATTATATCACTTACAAATGTAATTTTTTACTTTAAACAGAACTTTCTCAATGTGACTACTATGGGTTGGGGATGGTAAGTAGCGGAAGATTTACTTCTTTTCTCTTTTCATTTTATAAATGCATTTGTATTAAGTGTATAATGAATGTATATGTGTATATAAATGTATATAGTGGTTGCAGTTTGAAAACGCCCGATTTCAAATTTTACGAATGGCCTATAAATATTGAAGATTGTAGAAACCGTGGATTGGTATTTTTATCATTTACTGTATCATATGTATTTGCATTATATTTATTTTATTATATAGATTGATTAAATAAAACGAATTTTAAAATTTACAGGCATGCGCAGCTGCTTGTCAAAGCGATACAACTCCAGTTGAAAAAAAATCAGAATGCAATATTGCTTGCAGTAAAGTATACGCTATGCAGTATGTATTAAAAAAAAATATATTAATTTATTTAATTATTTTTATTTCATTATTTAATTAATTAATTTTTATTTTAATTATTAAATTATTATAATAGATGTGGAACTGCTAATCAAGTTCAATATCATTATGAGGTTGAAACCGAGGCAGATATTCCAAGTTATTCATCAGAAAATGATCCCGGTAATCCAAGTGCTTCTTCTTCTACCACTTCAAGTCCTACCGAAACAAGTGTAGGAAGTGATTCTCCAAGTGGTGCAAGTATACAAAATCCAATTATTTGGGCAATTTCTGCATTAGCTATAGTTGCCGCTGGGATGATGACGCTTTAATCTTATCTACTGTTTCGATTTTTTTGCCCCCCCCCATTTCTGTATTTCTATATCTTTAATTTTAATAATACAATAGAATAATACTTTAATTGTTAATTTTTTTTAATAATAATAATAATATAATAGAATTAAATGATAAAGATCTATAAAACTTTAAATAAAATATATTATTTTGATTATGCTTAAATAATCGTTAATAATAAAAGACATACTTTGTGAGAAGAGAACCATTGTTGTTAAATGCACTTTCTCTGGAAAACATTTCTAATAATAAAAAATGTATGCTATAATGTTCGCTTATACAGTATATATTATGTAAAGTGAAATTATGCGTGCTTTATTTAAAAACAAGTAAAAAAAAAGAAATGGGTTTGGGTTTAACTACAAACGATAATTATAAAAATAAAAAAAATTGGGTTCCTTTCAATTACGGCCATACACAGTGAAAAGCACCGGAACCCGTCCGATCTCCGAAGTTAAGCCACTGATGGCCCAGTCAGTACTATGGTTGGGGACAACATGGGAATACTGGGTGCTGTAATTTTTGTTTTTTAATAAAATATATTTTTGAATTTACCTCGGTGATTTTATATGATCATCGCGTGATTTTTTGGATATCATATCAAGATAGTGTATTTATTAGGGACTTGGGAATTTTTTTTACAATATTTTAATAATCTCGAATTTAAACCAAAGTTAATAAAATTTAGCAAATAAATTTAATCACATTGTATAAATTTAACGTGTCAAAATAAATAGATAAAACACGAAAATATATTATTGAAGACGAAAAGTTTTATTTTCTTTTTGTATATTTTATATATTTTTTATAAGCTAGCTGTGTTTTTATTTATTTTTTTTATATTAATGGTAAAGAAAAAAAATATATATAAGAAAAAAAAAGCGTGGAGTGAAACGAAAAAACTATGAATCGAAAACGAAAAAATTGATAAAAAATTTTTTTTAACTTAATTATAAGGAAACGAAAAACTAAATTACATATAAAAGAAAAAGTTGTGTTGTATAGATAAAATTAAGGTTATTTCGTTCGTTCATACTTTTTAATGAGAAAAAAAAATATATTACATAGAAGGGTGAAATAAAGGGGAAGAAAAACTTCATTTTTTTTTTTTGACACAAAAACTCGTATAAAATAAGTTATTCGTGCAATTTTGACACAGCTAGTAAAATTTTTTATGTATGTAAAAAGTCTACTATATGGATAGGTATATTTTGTAGTATGATAGCGCGAATTCTATGTATGCGCCGTATCGAAAACATATTATACAAACCTTAATGACGTAAATGATACGCCTTAAAGAATTCTTTTTCCCTTAATTTTTTTTTTTTTTAATTTTTTAATTTTTTTTTTAATATGGTCATAAGAAATTAAATTATGCCGCACCTATAAGTTTCCATAGAACAGCTTCATAACAAAACACATACTGTCTAAGCGTTTGTACCATGCTCAATCTCTGTTCACGGAATTTGGCAACTGTTTCTTGAATGATATCTTTATTAGTATCAAGATTTTTGTTATTTGCAAACATGGAAAGGACGGTATCAATGGTACAATACGCTCCCGTACGACCACAACCAGCAGAACAATGGACAACCATAGGTCCAATTTTTTGAAATGGTTCACATTGTTGAGCAGCGTGGTGTAAAGTTGAATTTGCAGTTTCTATGAGATTTAAAATATTTAGTGGTGAATTTGGAATTCCGAAATCCGGCCAACCAAGAAAATGTAATTGGGTGATCTCTCTCGCGGGTAATTCTGGGTGATTTCTCTGAGACAAACTAAATTTACGAATGATAATACTATTATCTGTTGAACCATTTTCTTCATTTGGTGTATGTTCAGAGATAAAAAGAAGGTCCAACGTTCCAAATTGGCATGGCGTTATTCTACATTCTCCCCAGTATCGATCGCATTGTATCTTTATTGAGAGAAAGAAAAAAGAATATTATTAATCAATCATTATGAAATGATAAATTTATAATTGATAATGTGTAATTGAAGTATGTAACTCACCCTTCCAGCTTCATGTTCTTTTGTCAACATTACAATCACACGACAATTTTGTTCCCATATAACTTGCCAAAAATCTTGGTAAGTAGAAGGCAATGGTCCTTGTGTGGCGATATAACGCTTATTACAACCATCAGCTTGGACGTAACTAGCGTTCACGTAATCACAATCTTTCCAATTATCGATTTTGACGCGAGCATGATCATATGGCCAAATATTATTGTATCTATTCTTTGTACCTTTTTCCATTCCGGCAGATATACTGAAGGGACTTTCCGATGTAGCTTGATTCGAATTAAGAAGCATTAAAGATTGTAATCTCCTTTGTTCAGCTCGTTCGATATCCTGTAATCAAATAAATATATTAATAAAGAATGAACGCATTTTAAAAATACTTGAGATCTTTTATAAAAAACATACATGAAAAACTTCAGCTAATATTGTTTTTCCCTCCTCATTAGAAATCAAATTACGAATGAATGTAGGCAATTTTGATTCATTAATATCAATGTTTTGAGGAATTCGAATAGGTATTGTTTGAGTTATACCAGAACTTAATTCTATGTTTTGTCGAATATTTGAGAAAAAGGGATTAACTCCGGAAATTTCAATAATTGGGGTTGGACAAGTGAAAGGGCCAGGTTTACGACCTATTGATGATCCTCTACGGGGGAAAGAACCAGACGGTGACATTGCGTTGATGACATTTTTTTCACACAATTCCTCGTACTTCATTGAAAAAGCAGCATAACCACCTAAATATATATATATTTATTTATATAAATATACCTCTCTAGCAAAAAAAAAAAAAAAAAAAAAAAAAAAAAAAAAAAAAAAATCATAATTCCCCACTAATATTCCTAATTACGAGAATTATAATTACCTTTCAAATAACCAACTTTTGATTTACAATTGGGTAAATTGAATTTTTTATAAAGATGAGAAATAGGTCCATTATCAGATGGACGGTCGGAGTCATTATCGTATAATACAATATTTTCATATTTAGACCAATCCTTAAATGTATTCTTATCCTCATCGTTTACTAAAGTTTCGGTGATTTTGTCAGCGGAGAATGAACCTCTTTTCAATAAAGTACTTGGGACACAAATATTTAAAGAAGATTTAATTCTTTCGACTGAGAACATTGAAAAAGATCTTATATCGAGCAACAAAAGGATATGTTGAAGAGATTCTGATCCTACTGAAGATGATTTTTGATGTTGTTGTTGTTTAATCAAGACAGCAACACTATCAATTGAAAATTCTTTAAAGGAAGTAGATACAGGAGTGAAAGGAGATAAATTAGCAGGCATGGAAATAGGTTTCTTTGGGGCCCCGCTTTTTTGATTCAATGTTTGCCTTCGTGTAGGTAATTTTGGAATGAAAGCACCATTATTCACCATTCCATCCTTAAAGGAGGCATAATTTGTTAAAGTATTGCTTAATGTGTCATTATAATTATTATTATAATTATTATTATAATTATTATTATTATTATTGTTATTATTATTATTACTAATAATATTATTATTGTGCAATTGAAAAGAATTGTTGTTGTTATGAATGTGTTGTTGAAGTTGTTCAAAGCAAGGAGTGGGTAATGTCTCACAGTCGTAAAAGGGAGTTTGGACGGGAGAATGGGTTTTGGGGATATCGAAATAAGGAGTTTGAACCGGAGAAGATTTTGGATTAATATCAAAATAACTCGGAGAATTTTTATCGGTAACAGGAGTAGCCATAAACGAGCCAGGCATACGAATATTAAAATACGAAGCTTGATCACTAGATACTTCGAACTTTGGAGAGTCGCAAATAATACTCATTTTTCTTCTCAATTTTAATTGTTTAAATTATTTGAATTATTTGAATTATTCGAATTATTCGAATTTGAATTTTTGAATTAATTATTCGAATTAAATGGAATTCCAATTAGTTGGATTTATAGAATTCGCGACTTTTTTATTTTTTTAATAAAATAAATTAGGCGCGTTTAATGATTGTTTAATGAATGTTTAAAGGATATTTAATTAACATTTAATAGACATTTAATGAACATTTAATGGATTTGAAAAAAAAGATGTTTTAATGATTGTTATTAAAAGGAGTGTAAAAGAATAAAAACCTGGCGAGGAGGGGTCGAAGTTATTTTGAAGAGGAGGGAGATGAATTTATATTAATTTTTCTGATACGTAATTGGTGTAAATTTCTGAATAATTTAATAATTTTGAATAAATATTGAATATTATGAAAAATTCAAGATGAATTGATTATGCCTCTTGATATATAAAGTCATAAATCGCAACTTAAAAAAAAAATTTTCAAATAGCTACTCTATTTATATTTCAAACTCCCAATGATTGACTTGATTATAACCATCGGAGAATTATACTTATATTAACGAATGATTGACAATTATTGACAAATTATTGAAAGACATTTATATCTAAAATAATAATATAATAATTATAATTGTCAATAAATTGTGTGTTTAATATAAAAAAAAAATGTGCATTAATGGTTCGTGGTCTTGGACCGGGGTATTCGTATATTTTATTGTTATTTGACAAGATAAATGACCTTCCCTGCAAAATCCCTAATTTGGATGTTTAATATGCTTAATAAGAAAGGTAAAATTAGATAGATAAAGTCGGTTGAAATTTTATATTGTAAAAAAAAAAAAAAAAAATGAGAATTGCTTTCTTTTATATATAATAGTATATAATATATAATTATTGTTTATCCCTTAAACGGTAAATCATGTGAATTGCGGGCAAATTTGCCCGCATTTATTAGTAACTTGTGACGTCACTACCGTTTAAGGGATAATAATTGTAATTGTTTATAATTTTTTTACAATGGATTTTATATAATGGGTTTATGATAGTGGCTTTGTTTATATTAGAACAAAAAACTAGGTCAAAGTTCATTTAGTTTTTTTTTTTTGATATATTGTACATAAACAGGTTGATTGTTTGTTTATCTTGTTGTACAATTCAATAAAACAGAAATTTTATTTACAAAAAATTAATTTCATAAATCATAAAATTCAAATCATAATATTACCATACAAATTATTTTACTTTAATTAGATATGATGTCATTAGTGGGGACTTGAGGTTATTCCAAAATGAGTAAGATTAGTGACGAAATGGCTATAATTACGCCAGTATGGAATTCCAGATTCCTATTCAAAATGGCATGATTTTAATACGATTATATAAAATAAAATAAAATGAACTTATTAAGACAAAAGATTCATGAACTCTCATTTTATAAACTCCCTATTTCACTTTTTCATTATATATATTTATATATTTTATATTATTAATATTTACATATATGTTACATATATTTTACATACATTTTACATTACACACATTTTACACACTATTTTGATAAATTACCTAAAAAGAAATTTTGCTGTCATCTTTTGGAAGTAACTGATCGAGCGCATACAAAAAGAACTGGTTTTTTTTTAACTCAATTAATTAATTAACAATTTAAAATTTATAAAGAGAAGAGTAAATAATTGATTTCTATTAATATACTATTCACATGTATATTATTGAAACCTTATTTTTGTAAGACTTTTAGTTTTATACTTGATAATTTCTCTAACTTTAAATCAATAAATTATTTTTGATTATTTGATATGTTTTGAAATTTGTCAATTATACTGTAAATATTTTATTTTATTCTTTCAGTAAATCCGACCTTGCTTACATGCATTTGATAATTGTTATGAATTTTAAAATTGATGCATTTCAAAATATTAATTGATGATGAATTATATTGGTCGGAACATTAAAATGCAATGTCACAATGACATTAAATATTTATTAGAGAACTAATTAATTTTATTTTAATTTTTTATTTACTCAATTAATTTACTTTCACCATTTGATTGTTTTTTTTTATTATTATTTAAATGAAATTTAAAAGGTTAATTCTTTTTTTTTGTTAGGAAATTGTCTATTGGTTGGATCAAGGTTAAAATAAAACAAAAAATAATTATCAAAATACTTGTCTAACGTTTATATTAATTCGTGACGTTAACATGTAATTTGCATATATATCCCATTCAGGATCTTCTTTCAAATTATTGGATTTAAGATATTCTGGAAGAGTACCTTCGAGAATTCGTGGGACACCTTTTTGAATTATATGATAATAAAGAATAAATTATGGATAAATTATAAATAAATTACAATTATAAATAAATAATTGAATTAATTATTAATAATTACCGTGAAAACATGCTCGACGAATTCCGCACATTATTGAAATATCTCCACTGCGTAAATATATTGCTATAGGCGAGACTTCACGCGTTAAACCACCAATTAAAAAAATACATGTATGTCCAAAACTATTTTACAGAACAAATAGAATTTAGTGATAATCGGATCATTATTACTAATAAAATATATATATATATATATGTATACCTAAAAGAAATTAAAGGACTATTCATATTTATTTCACTCTTATCAACGTGAGCCATTAAATTATCTTTAAGTTGATAATAATTAATTACTCCCGCTTCAGGTTTCCATTTTGACACTTCATATTTATGTATAAAATTATCATCATCCGGTAATTTAATTCCATCTATAACTTTAACCACTGCAGTTGTTAAATTACCAATATCTTGCGGAAATTTCAATTGACGATCTAAATGATAAGTTTTGGTTGGCCAGTGATATTGATAACCTAATGTTATCCATCTAAGTTTCCTCGTTAATTCTGATGGTGAAAGTATTGGAACAGTAGGTGATGGTGATGGTTCGGATTTTTCCAAATTATTATTGTGATTATTGCATTGATTATTATTATTATTGTGATTATTGCATTGATTATTGTCATCTTGATTATTTTGATTGTTTAATGATTCTTCAACATCATCATTATTATATTGTTCAGTATTTTCTTCCTTTACGAAAGCTTTCAATGGTACATAAAATTCACTATCATTTTCATTCAATTGACCATTATATACTTTTTCATGAAGTTTCCATATTCCTTCTTTAGGCAAAGCATAATGAGTATCAAGATTAGATTTATTAGGATATTTTGCAAAATCTTTAAGGCAACGCTTAATTACGTATTTTTGTGCCTCGGGTGTGAATGGATTTCGAATAAATATAAATCCTGAATAATATATAAAATATAATCTATATATAAGATATATAACAAATAATCTATATTTAAAATAATAGTTTAATTACAACAATTACCAGGAAAATCTCTAATTAGATATGCTTTTTTTCGATTTAAATCTATTTTTTCATCTATTTCATCAAATTGTCCAAATAATTCCTTATATTCTTCTTTACCTAGATCATGACTTAAATCTACTTGAACAATTTTGTTTTTAATTTCTACACTACAACCATCGATATTATCAAAATCAATTACATTACTAAAATTCGGTGGTGGTAAACGTGATTTGAAATTTCTTTCAGCGTCCCTAAATGGAGTTTTGGTCGCATAATTTGTAGCTTGGGCTTCACGACATCGAAGTTGTTTTCTTTCAAGTTTTTTCTGTCGTCTTGATTTTTGCATTTTTTTTTTTTTGTTTATAGTTATATACAAGGAGTGAGTTTTAATGAATTTTCGATTTAAAAAAAGAAACGTCCTCGAGATATTCGAATTTTATTGGTCCATAATTTAGCAGGTGATCATAAATACTATGTTCATGTGACAGATGACAGTGACAAAATGACAAAAGACCCCAAGATATTTAATAAAAATTGATTTTAAGGTGTAACACACGGTGATAAATGGTGATAAATACACTAACCCTAATCCTAACCCATGCATTTAACATAAGCGTTTAGGATAAGAGTCTAGACGGTTAAGTTTCTCTTAACTTTATCACCACGTTCTGATTGACAAATTGACAAAAAAAAAAAAAAAAACTTAAAAAAGATAAAAATTACAGCACCCAGTATTCCCATGTTGTCCCCAACCATAGTACTGACTGGGCCATCAGTGGCTTAACTTCGGAGATCGGACGGGTTCCGGTGCTTTTCACTGTGTATGGCCGTAATTAATAGATAAATTTAATCAAATTATATAAAGATTTGAAAGATTTGGAACGTTTGAATTTTTATTTCTAGGCGCAATTTGACTAAAAAAAAAATATATTAAAAAAACACGTACTAGTATCTAACAAGTTTGAGTAATTCTAAAGACAGAAGGTCATCGATATCAGCATAAACAAAAAAAAAATAATGCTGCAAACATGTTTATCATAACCTAAAACGAAAAAACATCTGGTTATGGCAACAAAAAAAAGGGAGGCAAGCACATGACCACATGACCAAAGCAGATAGTAAATGGCTTGCTTAGTACGACATATTTTAGTAAACTTTTATCATAGAAGCATTTGAAAAAAAAATTAGATCATTTACCCCACAGAAAAGATTAACTTAACTAGGTATTACTATTGTATCGTAGTTTTTGCTGATTATAGAAAGATGGAAAATTGAAAATTCTAATTTTATCGATTTTCTTATCTGAATAAAATTATAATTGAAAATTTTTACTGTAAGAATATAAAACACCCAGCTTAAATATTTTTATCATTTCTCTTTATGAAATAATGATAAAAATCTGAAAATGGATTTCATTGACGCCAATGTAAATATCTGGAAATATTTGTAAACATCAGAAAATATCTGTAAAAACATCTGTAATATCAAACACTCTAAAAGTAAAAAAGTTTCCAATTTAAAATAAAGATTTCTAAACGAAGTTAAGATAATGTTACCAATTTCCTTACCTCCTCATTAATTGTTATATTTCAGATTTTCCGAAATTCCATTGTCTATATCTCTTTCAATAGTTAAATTTTTTGGGACGGAAAAATAACTTTATTGCTTTTTTTGAATCTTTATAAAATTTTTGTTGTAAATTTTTTAAAAAAAAACTTTTTTACAAAAAATTAATAAAGAATCCTTTGATTATAATTTCTAAAATAAATAATTGCAGATATGTGCATGTTTCCTTTGATGCATATACCTTTAATGCATAAATAACATATTTCTTGAATAATATTACGATTATCAAATTTTACATTTTACAGATTTTTTACAAGACTATTTGTAATATATGAAAAAAACATGAAAAACGATGTAACCGAAAATATTATAAAAAGAATTTATTCTTAAATGTTAACACTTATTAACATGCATATTATTGATATAATATTATTGGTGATGACATATAGATTTTCAACAAATTCTTTGCCTTTCCCCATTTTCCCCCATTTTTAGATTTTAGATTTCAGATTTTAAAAAAAAAATATAAAAGATATAACAATGGTAATTCCAAATTAGTTCAGCACGTTTTTCATTGCCATTGTTTTTGATCTTTTTGGTTCTTTTTGGATCTTTGTGGTTTTTTTTTATGTGCGTATCATTGGTGCAAGACTGCGAAATGACGCATTGTGTTACCAATTATGTCATATCTTTTTAGACAATGACAAATTGACAGGTGACAAGTTGTTTAGATGGTACAACTTAAATGATCTTAACTGACAGAACTTTTAGATAAATATTTTTCATCAGAAAAAAAAATAAATCGATAAATGACATAACAAATTTTATTCATATTCATTCCTCCCCCAAAGAATTTCTCTCTTATTAATGATAATGCATAAATTTATCAGATGGACTCCAGTAGCCCAATTTATTTCTTTTACGATAACCAATATAATCGTTTTTTATATAATTGTAGTGAGCACAAAATATATTGTTTTAGTTTTTTTATTGCTACGTTTACATTCTAACCCCTAGAATTATTAGATAAAAACACATATGACGTAAAAAAAAATGATTGGATCAAAACTGAACCATCAAAGATCCTACGTTCAAAGTGCTGCGAGTAGTACAATTTGTTTTTCAAAGTAGTACAATTTGTTTTTTTACTCGAAAAATTTTTTATCCTGAATCTATATGAAAAGTGTTGTTTTATGTTTTTGAAGATAAGAAAGGTACAAAAAAGGAAAAAAGGACAAAAGGTTATTTACGAAAGTAGGGAGATTGCAGTGAACGATTTTTTTTTGCTTATTGGATCAATAAAATATTTTGGCTTTTGATTATTACACAGAATGAAAAAAAAAAAAAAAAAAACTGTACATAATATCTTTAGAGTTTATTATTATTCATTCTTTCTTTTATTAAATTATATTGTATAACGAATAAGATTTCCTGATTGAGATAAAACCAAGATAAAGTCAAGAGATGTTCAAATATCACCTTATTATAATAAATACAGGAATATTGTTCAGAACAATAATAACAAAATTAACAACAATCCTTAGAGACAATCTGATAGAATCTAAATATTGTATACACAATACTATTATTTTAGAAAGATTCACCAAAACAATTGCTTTGCTTAAAACACAATTATAATATTATTCAAAAAACAATAACAAAGTAATAATAAAATTTGAAATTAAATGATAAACCTGAAATTTAGTGGTCATTTCGGTTTGATGGAGTTCTTTTAGAAATTTAAATTGTAAATATAAATTTTAATAAATTTTAACGGATTCTTTATGAATGCAGCTTTCTCTGACCAATTAATATAAGGTATTATTTAATTAATTTGACTAATTTTAAAGTTTCTTTAAAAACTATTATGATAAGATGCGTTTTCCTTTTCTTACTTTAACCAATCAAAACATAAAAACATTAAAAAATGGCTGAAAAACAAAAACCGCATAAAGTAAAATCCATTTGACTGAAAGATCATCCAAACGTGAATAAGAATCAACACAAAGAAAATTATCAAGAGAACACTTAGCATAAAAAATGGGATCGTCATAATTTTACTAACTATTTTTTATAATACTATATTTAGATTCATTCGAGCATTTAAAGTAATATTAAGTGATTATTCATTTACAGAACACAATAAATTTCATTAAAAACATTGGGAAATTAAAAATGCGCGCGTATTATGTCACGTGATATTTTCAGTTGTCATTTTTGTATTTTTGAATATTTTTGGTCTTTTTTTATTATGGAACAATACATTAGATTTCGAGTTCGATTTGTACACAAAAAAAAAAAATGGAGAAAGAAGTATGATTAATATTATTTGACATTTTAATTCAATCAATTTTATTGGGAAATAATTATTGATTCATATGCTTTACGCGTGTTTTTGCTGATGTTGTGTATTGTTTTCACGATAAGCAAGTTATAACCTGTTCTTTTTTTTATGTAACGAAGTTGGAACTTTCAAATGAAAATAGAATTCATTAAATAGCATTTGTTTATGCTTGTTTTTGAAGGTTAACAAAATTGATATAGTGTATATAATCCGTTTCGAATAACTGATTTAATGAAACAACTTTCTTGTTCATGCATGTCCCTAAGTTCTGACATTATTTATTTTTATTGGTTTATATCGAATTTCCCAACATTCGTCATTCTGAATTGTATTCTTAAAACTAGCAAAACCGGTTCAAATTGGTAAATATTTCATGGTGCGTTTGAACATTCTTCATTCATGGCTTGTTCGTATTTTGAATATGCAGTGTCAGTTTAAAAAAGATGGGAACCAATCCGAACTTTAGAACAATTAATTTAGACAATCGTGAACCGGTACCATTCTATAAATGAAAAATTATTAGCCAGAATTCATCCAAAAATGAAGAACAAGATGATTGAAAATGATTGAAACTATGTATGCATATATTAATAATCAAAATATAATGATTGTTTGTTGTTTTTATTGTTCTACTTTAAACGACAAAAGTAAAAGAAAATAATTTAATTATAGGACGTTTAATTATAAATTAAATTCGTGTTTCTTTGATAAAATCGAATAAAAATTTGTATCAATTGTCACAAATAAAATATGTAAAGAAGATTTGACTTTTTTGTTAATTATATTACTAAATATATTACATAAGACGCAAAGAATAAGATACTAAATAAAGTTAGCAGTCTTTACATATATAAAAATCCCGTCATTAAAATAAATTCGGATCTTCTTAATCGAGTTTGATTAATACCGAAAATCTCAATTTCCTCTAAAACTTATTGTTAATACTTTCATTCCTAGCCTGATTATAACTTGAAATTTAAGTTCAGTAAAAATATAAAAAAGATTAGTTTCCTTAAAATGTTATCATTGCTAATTATTATTAACTTGCATTATTTCTAATTATTTGTTTTGTTTAATTTGCTTATGTAATAAATTTAATTTTTATGATAATGAGATCTCCTAAATACTTACCTAAAAATTTATCTGAATGAAAAAAAATATCAGTCATTTTTATAAGTCCAAATTCAGAGTGATTTCAAATAAATAATTTGATTTCGAATGTCGCCATTTTAAATCTAAATAAGACTAATCATATAGGGTCCATATTATTTTTCGTGATTCTTATTAAAAACTAGGTTAAATTTTAGTACAATATTTTAATATGTGATGTGATGAGATTGTGACAAAAGATATAAAAAAAAAGATAGACAAAATTCCTTTTTATAGAAATTGTCATTAACTCACTTTTTTTTTACTGATGCACTCTATATGTAATCATTTTCTTATATTAAAATATATGAGATACATATTAAAATTTATTAAATTAATCTACAAATATGAATAAAAAATCACAAAGCAATTGTAAAATATATATTATGAACAATATAATTGATAAAGAACTATTTCTAAAGATAGTTAAGAGAAAGAAGTTATTGAGTTAAACCTTCTGAAATGTTAACTGGATTTCAATTATGCAAACAGAACAGTTTACCTATTAAAATTAATCATTAATTGAAAATCAAAGAAACAGGAAAAATTGAAGTTGAATTCAACAACTTATTTTAGAGGTTGATTTTTCCAAGTGAAAAAAAAATTTAAACAATAATGTTAACACTAAAGATAGAATAGTTGTAGAGTAGGATCAATGAGTATGGTCAACTATCACATGAGTTAGGATTAACACTCT